TTCTGCATTCCTTTCTGTTTTTATTACCTTATTTATTTCACACTTCAGATTATCCCTGACATAGTTTGCTACTCCTCCTCCTTTCCTAATCTGCCTATCGGTATGGAATGATTTGTAACCTGCAATTTGGTATTTGACAGGTAACTCACGTGAGTCTAGGTTTATCCATGTTTCGGTGAATGTTATTATGTCGATTTTTTCGGTACATACCAACGCCCTGATTTCATCTATTTTGTTTCTCATACTTCTGCAGATTGCGTAGTAGACATTTAAGTTAGTCGTGTTCTGAGTCCTGTCTTTGTCTCGTTTATGTTTTAACTCCCTGCATAATTTAGTTTTTCCATAATTCCTAGCACTATTTCCGTGTAACCTTTCACTTTGCTTACCCGCTCCCACTGCAGTCTCCTCCACCCCTGTGCTCATATGTTCTCTTAGCAGTTTAAAGGCTTCGACATCTTTTGAACCGCTCGGGGCCGGGTGCAATGTAGTGTTGGAATTGGAGGGCAGGAGTGTTAGTAATGACGATGTCTGGTGTGCCTCTGCCGTGACCAGAGTAGAATGTGGGGAAGAAAGGTCCAATGCGTGTTTTTTGTGTGACCAGAGTGTGTAGTTGTTGGCCGTGGGGGTCTATGCGGTTGTGTTGGAATGCAGTGTGATGTGCATTAAGGTCGGCCATTAGTATTACAGGTGGGTGTGTGTTGTTAAAGATGGAGTTTAGGTCTGTAAGCCTGTAAGCCTGATATATAGGAAGAATCTCAACACCATCCATCATCACTACATATAACACCATCCATCATCACTACATATAACACCATTCATCATCACTACATATAACACCACCCATCATCACTACATATAACAACATCCAGCATCACTACATATAACACCATTCATCATCACTACATATAACACCATCCATCATCACTACATATGAACACCATCCATCATCATCACTCATCACTATATAACACCACCCATCATCACTACATATAACAACATCCAGCATCACTACATATAACACCATTCATCATCACTACATATAACACCATCCATCATCACTACATATGAACACCATCCATCATCACTACAGATCGGTAAAGTAGGTTCCGAGATTCCTGTGCGGACACACAAGTACACATACTTCTTTGTTTTATATATATATATATATATATATATATATATATATATATATATATATATATATATATATATATATATATATATATATATTCGGAGTACCGTTTTGGTTCAGTGGAATGACCATGGTCAATTAAATTACAATTACATGATTATCATTTAAATTACAATTATAATATAACTGATAACTTTTTCAATTACAATTACAATTCCTATTATCTTGTAATTAATTATAACACTAGTTGACAAGGGTTCGGTAACATGGATCAAATACGCTGCACTTTATTAATTTTGAGCTGATTTCAAATATGTCAATAAAAAAATGTGAGTCACGTAACATTTTTATGATATACAGTATGTGTGAATGTAGTGGAGGAATATAAGATACGTATTTGTGTTGGTAGTGATATATTATTAAATGCAAGGTTAGCAAAACTGAACAGGAGAATTGGGGAGACTACAACGCCGAGGTTGTGTTAATTCACCAAATTCACCAAATTGAGTATCCAAATGTACCTTCGGCAATAAGGCCCGTTCCTCACGGAGAAGGCCTCCCTATACCTACCCCACCGGTTAATTTGGAAGAGCTCTCAACTTCGGATGAGGAAATTGAGGAAGAAATCCCAAAATCATCCCATGATCCTCCTTTTATTGACCAGACTTCCAATGAACCACATCTTATAGAACAAAGTGAACTTAATGATCTTGTACGTGATCTCCGTCTGTCAAAACAGAAGGCGGAACTTTAAGCAACAAGACAGCAGGAATGGAACTTGCTAGCGAAACAGGCAAGAATTTCTGTTATTAGGAAAAAAAATATTACAATATCTTCATTCTACTGTATGCAGGAGTCCCTCTGTGTGTGTACTGAGGTAGATGGACTGATGTCAGAGTTGGGAGAAAAACATGACCTAGAGGAATGGCGGCTTTTCATAGATTCCTCCAAGTTTAGTTTGAAAGCAGTATTGTTGCATAATGGGAACCAGAAGCCTTCAGTTCCAGTAGCGCATTCTGTAGGTTTGAAGGAAACGTATGGTAGTATGGAGAAAATACTGACCGCTATTGAAACAAGGAGTATAAGATGGCGGATCTGCGGCGATTTGAAGGTTATAGCCCTTCTACTCGGCCTTCAAGGAGGGTTCACGAAATATTGCTGTTTTCTGTGTTTATGGGACAACAGGGCAAGACAAAAACACTACAACATAAAGGACTGGCCAAAGAGAAAAGTGTTTGTTCCAGGAAAAAGCAACGTTAAATATACTCCCCTGGTAGACCCAAACGATGTACTTCTACCTCCTTTACACATCAAGCTGGGACTAATGAAGGATTTTAAGAAGGTTATTGACCAACAAGGTGATGGGTTCGTGTACTTGAGGGAAAAATTCCCACAGCTTAGTAATGCTAAAGTCAAAGAGAGTATCTATGTTGGTACACAGATAAGAAAGTTACTTCGTGATGACAACTTTGAAAACAAACTGAATGAAAATGAGCTAGCTGCATGCAAATCCTTCACATCTGTAGTCAAGGGGTTTCTTGGAAACAAGAAGGAAGAAAACTAATGCCAACTTGTAGAGGAACTCTTAAAAAACTACAAAAAATTAAGATGCAGGACGTCCCTGAAGTCCACCTTTTGCACTCGCACTTGGAATTTTTTCCTGAGAATCTGGGGGCGGTTAGTGATGAACAGGAAAGGTACCAGGGTAGAAGGGATCCTGCCATGATGTGGGACTGTTGCTGGTTTTTACAATCGGAGGATAATACAATACATAAAGGATGAAATAAAATAACAAATGCCCATACAGTGGCTAATTTAATACTTGTTGTGTCTTCGTATGATTGTTTTTATTCTTTATTGAATTTTAGTGTGATGACGTGGAAAAAAGTAACAGTAATAACAGGATAAATGGTATTTTTCAGTTTTTGTATTTGTAAGATTGAATTTTTTGTATTACAAATAAACTGTACGTGCCAGATAATTTTTATTGCCAGATTTGAAATCAACACCTCAAAATTACCAAACAGAAGCTGCTCTGAACCATGTTACCGTTTTTTTCTAATTTGTTGCCTAGTGTTACATTTCAATTAAGTTACAAATACAATTACTCCAACCCTGTTTACAACTGTGACGTCCGAGAGCTGTACATTGTGGGTAAAACAAATGCTTGGCGTCCTTAGGCAACTGTACATGTCAAGTTCAAGTTGACAACCTAAAACAACTTCCTTGTGACCCTTTTCCCACTTAATTTCTAAAGAGATATCATCATTATTTTTGTCAGTATTATGAATTATATAAAACACAAATATATGATGCATATTTGCATTGTAAAATGGTACATAAAGAAGCGTAAGTTATGGCTGTGGCTGGCAACCCACTAGGGGCAGGACGTCATATACGAGTACATCAGGACTAAAACAGTATCCTTGATATACATGACGTCACGGGCCCCTATGCAAAAGTGTCTAAGACTTCGTAAAAATGCATCTGGGCTCTATAAGACAAGGATCATGTAAACACAAGATATGTCAGCAGTCTTGGAAAAGCTCACAAACTCGGCCAAAATCAGTTGTTATTGCTTAGGAGAAATATGATAAAAAATTTTCCCAAATATAGACACACGCTACTCCGAATCAGAGATGCGATTCTTATCACAATTGCCTCAGGAGAAAATCAATCTCTACTCAAAAGAGACTCATAACTGTCCTAAAGTCAGCCATGTTTGCTGAGTGACTTTCTAGTCTGTCTGGAAATAAACCCTGATGATATTGTGGACATATTTACTCTTATAAGGGATCGTAAGCCATCCCTGCGTAACACAGGTAGTAGGAAGGCAACCTATTATCTCTGTATAATGTCATTGAGGAAATATAGTGGATAATTTACCTTTTCAATGTAGCTAGAGATAGATGTCTAATGGTAGACCCTACTGCCATATGGCATCATAAAAATTATGACCAAGTCCCAGGTTGCTGATCTGTTTCTCTCTTTTGATCTTTTTTATTTGTTATTATTTCTTTGTGGTTCTTTATTATTATTATTATTATTATTATTATTATTATTATTATTATTATTATTGTTATTATTATTGTTATTATATTATTATTACAGTGTTAATATTATTATTGTTATCATTACTATTATCTTATGTTATTTTTAATTGTGCATTTTTTATTATAAATTTTATTTATTATGAATTATTATTATTATTATTATTATTATTATTATTATTATTATTATTATTATTATTATTATTATTGTTGTTATTAATATTGTTATTATTATTATTATTGTTATTATTGTTGTTATTGTTGTTGTTCTTGTAGGCTACCCCAGGCCCCGATGTGGGTCAGTGACCTGTGCCCGTTGGGTTAATCCCTGTAAAAAAAATAATGTCTAAATACATTACGTGCCTCTTATGGACTATTATTCCAAATAAACAGTTGACGTCCTTTTATTTATTTGAAGTTGCATGTATTTTTCATGGATCCTCCCCTCCCCTCCCCTTTCCTCCCATATGGTTTAGCTGGTTCTGCCACTGCCTGGCCAGGTGCCCAGTGTACCCACCCCTAAATCCGGCCCTCATTAAAACAGTTTTCTATGTGTTAAAAGACCTTAATTGTTGCATCACTTGCACGTATTATAATTGCAACGGTGAGATAGAATCTTGTCGTTTGTGTGCTTTCGACTTAGAAACAAGTAATAATTATTATCCTCTGTTTTGTTTTTCGGTTGTAGATACTTGAAATTTGTCTGCGTTAAGCTCTGGAATCTAAGATGAACCATGTAAACTGAAGCAAGCAATAGTCATTTACAATAAGTGGTTAGGATATCAAAACATAATCTCAATCCTGTGCATGAATTCCAGACTGAAGACTATGCACTCAGTAATGTGTACCGCAGAGGTGGTGATGATGGCAGTAATAGAGGTGATGATGATTATGATGGTGGCGAGAGACTTCAGTGTGAATGCTCAGGCGCCGACCTCCCTCCCTCCTATCGACCTGGTACACCAAGTCGTCCTGGACCAAACAGGGAAATACGTCATGCGGTGGACGCCCCGTGACAACGACATTATCATCGAGGTTCAGGTTGGTGATGTGAGATGTCTGATGTCTTGCGCAGGTATTAGTTTGCATGGGGTAGAAATATAACTGAAAAGACTTCGTAACTGTTAAATAGTCCGCGTTCATATGAAAGGGCTTAAATTTTCTTAAATTTTGTCTCGGGTTCACGCTTGCGAGCAGCACAAGGGGTTTAGGTTAGGATGCTTCGAGTTGTTATATGTCAAAAGTGGCTCATAAATATAATTACTTAACGTTCAAAGAAACATGACGTGCTGGGTAATTCATTCTGATAATTTTGTAAACTAGAACTGTTCCATAACTACCAAAATTATCATACATAAGGAGCAGTTAGCGATAATAGTCCAATTCTTATGTATCCAGCTATGTAAATTGTATTTATTTCAACGCTCAAGAATTATGCAGATGAGAATTTAAGGTCACAGTTTGTTCCTTTATTTTTAGTTTACCTTCCATGGGGTGAGCATTGCATAGCCTGATGTTTTAGGTCGACCTGTTTTTGCCGGTTAAGTTTTACTATCCTTCGAGGATGGCACTCCTATAGTCCCGAAGTACTTAAGCCTGTTTATACACATAAAAACTTTTGTTAAATATAATACTGCAAGCGTCATGTTAATTGAGAATTTACCCTAACACCTATAATACCAAGCTTCCTCTTCTTGTAGGTGGCGACGACTGGGTACGTGGGCCTCGGGTTCTCTCCCAATGGTGGTATGAAAGGCGCCGACATAGTGTTAGGCTGGGTGGACGAATCTGGCGAGGTCTTCCTGAATGTGAGTATAGTTCCAGATAATAACGACTACCTTCACCCACAATTTATTTCAACAAGCAGGTTAATAATTATCACACAAGCTCTACATCATATTTTACACAGATTTGACCTTGATTTATAACCTTTCACCTTTCTTCATCAGAGCTTTTTTTTCATTAGTTAAATATCATATGCTTCATGAATGTTGGTACACATTTTTTTCAATTATTGTTTTATGGCGCATTAATATAGAAGAAAATAATTTATGATATTGTGTTAGTTTAAGAATTTGAACAAATACCCCCCCTCCCCCCAAAAAAACGATAACTGTGGGCGGGGGATGCTTCCAGTGATGCATTCTGACCAGTATACTGAATGTTTTAAGAAAAAAAACCTTCTAGTGAATACACGTTGTATATCAGAGTCAACATTCAGGATTAGAAAAAATGCCTAATCCCCCTTCCCCTTCACACACACGTAAAAGGTGAACTAATCTCATGGAGAACTAAGTCTTGTTTATTACTGTTTATTAATATCGATTTTTCGACTGCAGTGATTGAGTAAACTTTTATTTTTTAACTTTACCATTGACTTAATTTTCCCATATTAAACCATTTTGTTCAGACACTCAAGGATTCAGTGCAAGAAGCTAATTATCTCTTTCCCCTCCGGGTGGGAATGATTCTCCCCAGGACCGATACTCCAACGGGTATGAGCCACCAAGTGTGGACGAGTCTCAGGACGTGGAGCTGCTAGGAGGGTACCAGAATGACACCCACACAGTCCTGAGGTTCTCCCGCTCGTGGAACACCTGCGACCATGGCTCTGACTATCAGCTTTCAGTAAGACACAAAGTCATCAATCAGTTTACTTAAGTTGTTTACCATCAACCTTGTAGTTACAATGTCATTACACTCACTATTTTCTTTTTATTCTTATGCCCTTTTCTGCTATTTTGCGGGATGGCCAAAATTAAGATGAAATACATGAAATGTTTCTCTTCAATCAATATCATTCTTCCGTTATTACTGTTGTAATAGATGTATTCTTCTATGACACTCCACTTTTACAACAAGAACTCATTTGTCTAACTTTTTTATCCCAGTTACTTCACATAATCAGGCATAAGAACAAAAGAAAATAAGGAGTCTGCAATAGGCCGGTTGGCCTGTCGAGAGTTACTACCACACACTATCATCCATGAATCTATCTAGCCTCCTTTTGAAACTTTCCAGCGTTCCAGCACTTACTACACAGTTGCTAAGCTTGTTCCACTCGTCTACCACCCTATTTGTGAACCAGTTCCTTCTTATCTCCCTCCTAAACCTAAACTTATCCAACTTAAATCCGTTGCTACGAGTCTATCCTGCTCGGATATTATAAGAATTTTATCTATATCTCCTCTATTGATTCCTTTCGCCCACTTAAATACTGCTATCATATCTCCCCGCACTCTTCGTCTTTCTAGGGAATGCAAGTTTAGTTTCTTTAATCTATCTTGATATGGGAGGTTTCTAAGTCCCGGACTTAATTACCCATCTGTAACACATAGCTCAGGCTCTCAACTGGCCCAGCCATGTTAATACAATAGTATGATTTTTAATCGACTCTGTATCTGTGTTCTTCTGGCCAAGTAAACTGTTTCAATCAATGTTTCAATCAAATTTTCCAAATAGCGCTGGATACCATGTTCTTCCCTTGTATACGCTCTGCTCTTTTCAAGATGTTCATCCACCTCACTTTTAGTGCTTCCTCCACCTCTCCCATCAATCTGAAGGGTCTTTCTCCACCCGTACCATCCACCTCTGAATTGTATACTTGTTCAATCTTTCACTTCCAATTTTCTAAATATGTCTAGAACACCTGATCTACTCTCTGCCTGGCGCTTCTTTCTAATCCACATCTCTCTTCTTGTTTACCTTTTCTCTGCTTCCTTTATGCTTCAAATATTGTACTCAAGCACTTCATTTATGTCACTTAATCTTTTCCTTTCAGAATCAATGTTTCACGCTCATCTTGGTTCATCAATTCCTATATACCTGTATATATATTCTAACCGTTATCGCGTTTCCTGACTTTACATTATCCTCTTCACATTGATCGGCCTGTTAGCCGATTGGGTGGTCGGTAACGCGCTGCTGGTAAGTGCGCGTGCGTGTGCACGCCCGCACACAGGGTGGTGTAATGCGTCTGGTGTGGCAGCATTATGCTAGTGTTAAGATGCAAGCACTACTTGCTTCAGCTCGCTTTCAGCTACCGCCGCTGGCTAGCCCTCGTGGCGAACAGGAAAGGAACTTGCATAAGTCTTCCCCTGTCATTACACAGCCTCTTCACCGTCAAGACTCATGCTGTGCCTCCTCGTGGCAACACACTGTAACTGGGTGCCTCGTGGGCCCAGGCTAGACCAGTAGGGGATCTCGGAGTAGCAGTGGGCCCTAGAGGGACAGCGCATAGGCCCACTGGCGTGTGGACACGTCGTAGCACCTACCAACGACTGACCCGCTGCCTTGCGGATTAATCTTGGAATGTTTAATGCTACTGGAGTAAACCCCGAATGAAAAATCTGTGGTGGAGTTCCGCATCAGGCAGACATACTTACAGAGCTCCAACGGCAGTAAAGGCGGAAGAGGTGACCACCAAGGGAACCCAACAAATACACCGGTGGACGAAGGCAATGCATGATGGACAGGCTACTAAGGCGAAACCAAACAAATTGGGCTATCGGCAGTCCAGTGCAACTCTCCCTCTCCCCAGTCTTTGCAACACTTGCACCACTGGATAAGGAAAGGGGAAAGCCAAGATGTGTGGTTGCAGCCTGCGCTCCTGCCTCACCACCTAAATCAACTCATACGCAGCCATCATTCAGCTCATCATACTCCTCATCATCATCATCAAACCCCTATACCCCTAAAAGTTCTATGACGACGGACAAGTGGGGAAGGGGACAGGCAGAGATGACTGCCGGGAGTCTCTAGTCACAACTCTGTACATGGGTGGTACAGATAAGATGGTCGCTTATGCACTGTGATCTAGGCCTTAGTACAATCCGGCTCCTGTCTATACGACTGAGCAGCCCTTTCGAGGAGCCACTCTGTTCACACCACATGGGGAGGGGGCTAGAAAAGGTGCCCTAAACATAGCCTGCATAAAGAAACAACCTGACTGGGCAACCGCACCCAGTAAGGTCATCCTTATGCAGTCGAAAACACAATCGTAATCATAGATCAAATCAAAAACAAACTATGCAACCTCTTATGCTCGCTGCATGGAATGTCAGGACTCTTCTGGATACTGGCACAAATGAGTGTTATAAAAGAACATCCGCCTTTGTGGCAAAAGAGCTGGCTAGGTATAACATCGACATAGCAGCCATTAGTGAGTCCCGGCTTCCAAACGAGGGTCGTCTCATAGAACAGGGGGTCTGGCTATACTGTACCTTCTTCTGGAAGAGTAAGTCTGCTGTGGAGAGAAACTGCATTTTTGGAGCTGGCTTTTCCATCCACCAACGCATCCTACACAGGCTAACTAAAGTGCCTGTCGGATCAACGAGCGCTTCATGATGCTCTGAGATCAACTGAATCACTCACGTCATGCCTTTTTTATCAGAGCATACACCCCAACACTTGATGCAAAGGACGACATCAAGGAAGCCTTTTACGCCGACCTCGACAGAGTGCTAACCTCCATCCCCAGAGAAGGTAAGGTTGTGCTCCTTGGTTTCTTCAATGCCAGAGTTGGCAGAGATGATGACATTTGACAGAGAACCATAGGGAGAAATGGACTAGGCTAGTGTAATCCCAATGTTCTACTCCTCCTTAGCAAGTGTGCTGCACACAACCTCGCTATCACCAATATATTGTTTACTCAGGCTGACAAGTTCAAGGGTTCATGGCATCACCCACGATCCAAACACTGGCACCTCATTGACTACAACATTGTCAGAGAAAGAGTTCGCTGAGATGTCCTCATCACCTGAGCCATGAGTGGCTCAGACCACTGCGATTCTGAACATCGGCTCGTCAGAGCCAAGCTTTCACTTCACATCGCCCCAAAATGGCGAAGGCAGCAAGCCTCCAGAAGAGGTTTTAACACTAAGCGTCTGGAGGATCCAGTGGTAGCACATGCTTTCAGAGAGCAGCACCAACATGGGCTGATAAACAACCCGACAACAAACAGCCCAAATCCCAGTGCTCATTGGGATATTCTCGACACTGTCATGACAAAAACCTGCAGAGAGACCCTCGGCCAGATCGAAAGAATACACCAGGACCAAAGCTGATACCTACCTCAAGAAGAAAGCAGCGGCCCAGTGTGAACTTCTCAATCTACTGAACGACTGTTTTAAAAATAAAGCATGTGAAACGCAAAAACTTGCAGATCAACAGAAGATACGCGAATTTTTCAATTCCACAAAAAAACATTTTATGGGCCAATCACTCATGGTGCAGTCCCCTTCCGCCCATTCATTGGTAACTCCCTAATTAAAGACGAAGAAGGCATCTTTCAACGCTAGAAAGAGCACTACCATTCACTGCTCAACCGAAACACTGATGTGGATGTCCTGACTACCCAGCAGGTCCCTCAGCATCCAGAGCTGACCCACCTCAGCTATCCCCCAACCTTGGATGAGGTAGTTACTGCAATCAAACAGATGAAAAATAACAAAGCCTCAGGGTCTGATGGAATCCCAGCCAAGGTGTATAAGGCAGGAGGACCTCTGCTTACTAGCCATCCCCACTCTCTTCTGGAGAATATATGGGAAAAGGAAGAAATCCCCCAAGCTCCTAAAGACGTCTCCACCGTCAATATTTATAAGAGAAAGGGTGACCGGTCAGACTGTGGCAACTACTGCGGGATCTCGCTGCTGTCCGTAGCTGGCAAGATTATCGCCCAAGTCCTCCTCAACAGACTTCTTCCTGAGGCCGAAAACTTCCTCCCAGAATCTCAATGTGGCTTTAAACTAACACGTAGCACCACTGACATGTTCTTTGCTGCCCGGCAGAGAGCGGTTAAAGTGCAGAGAACCTCGTCGTGACCTGTACATGGCCTTTATCGACCTAACCAAGGCCTTCTACTCGATGAACGGGGAACACCTGTGGCGGACCCTCAGCCGTTTTGGCTGCCCACCAAAATTCATCGTGATTGTGAGGTAACTCTACGATGGCATGAACGGCTGTGTCCTGCACAATGACACCCAGTCTGAGTTCTTCCCCATCCAAACGGGGGTAAAACAAGGATGTTACTGGCACCAACTCTCTTTTTCAATTTCTTGGCTGCTTTCCTTACTTATGCCGGTACCAATTTAGCCGGCGGGATGGACTTCGAGTCCTGGATGAAGGGCGTTTTCAACATAAGACGACTCCAGGCAGGAACAAAAGTGTCGGCAGCTTCCATTACTGAGCTTCAGTATGCAGACGACCTCACCCTTGTCGCTCACACTGAATGCTACCTACAGTAGATCATGAGCACCTACGCAGATGCACACTTCGGCCTTGAGGTGAATGTATATAAGACTCAAATTCCCTTTCAACCTGGCCCTGGTTCAGCCACACATCCACCATCCATCTAGCTTAAACTTACTACCCTCTCTAATGTTACCCACTTTCGGTATTTCGGCTCCCACCTGTCCACCGCTGCGGACATCAATGAAAAGATTCAACATCGGATGAGATGTGCATCTCAAGCCTTTGGCAGACTCCGTACCCGTGTCTTTAACTGTAGTGAGCTGAAATTATCTACAAAGTTGCACGTATATCGAGGAGTGGTCCTCCCCACCCTGCTATATGGTAGCAAGACATGGGTCACATACAGGAAGCACCTCAAGACACGTGAAAACTTTCAC